TCCATCCTTTCTGGAATCGAGTCGAGTTTTATACCAAAAATAAATTCTACCAGTAATCGAACAACCAATCCTGGTTCACCCCTGAAAGGGATGCGACCATAGCCCACCGTAACTGTCTATCACAAGAAGTGGTGTAGTTTGGTTCTTACTGCATTCAGAACCGGTCTCAGTCTCTGCAAGAAAGTTCTGAAAAATGCAAAATGTAGCTATGCACAAGCGGTCCAGGCCAAGGTTCAAAACAAACAAATAAATTGGATTCCGAGAGTTCACCAACCAAATTATGAATAGAAGCAAGGTTGCTGTGCCCATTATTATAAATTGCTCCGAGGTCATATCATCAGCTTCAGATAAGGCAAAGCTCTTCACCACAATATTTGCCTCGAACTCAGCATTAGAAGACTTTGGACATCCACTTTCCGAGTTCCCACGTCTTACTGATCACAATCATAATAGTATTTTTATCACAGCCCGAGAAGTGACAAGAATTATTAAATGTTTTAACTCTAAGAAAGCCATTGGCCCAGTCAAAATCCCAGTGGTTGTCCTTAAGAATATCAACATGGAATTATCCACGATCTTAGTGAAATTATTTAACTGCTGCTTGAAAGAGAAATCCTTCACAAGTCAAGCGTATGCCCGATTTTCAAAAGCGCGGACGAGCGCTCATTCCCCATCAGTCTCCTCGGTGTCATTAACAAGCGTTTTGAGGCTATAATCAACATAAAGGTTCCTGATTATCTAAATAAAAGCAACCTCTTAGGCGACAAGCAATACGGGTTTCAATCGTCGTGATCCACTGCTGATCTACCTAATATTACTCACAAAATCAGTAAGTTACTAGACAATAAATACATTTATAGGCCATAGTATTAGATATGTCAAAGGCTTTTGACAAGGTGTGATACAAAGTATTGCTGCTCAAGCTCTCTACCTATAGAATCACTGGAAGGGTGTTCTAAATAATAAAGTCCTTCCTAAAGGGTAGGTCACTGAGAATAGTTGTTAACAACCAGTCATCTGAATCTTTAGCAATCAACGCATGCGTCCCCAGGGTCACTTTTCGAATCAACCCTCTTTCTACTTTACATAAATGATCTACCTAAGAGTAGACTCCGATCATTTGTGAATATCTATGCTGAAGATACTACGATACATGGGTTCACCTCCAAAACACTAAATGACCAGGAAATGAAATATGATCTCTCCTTCGATTTATCTCTAAAATCTCAGTTGAGGGAAATCTTGTCGGTTACATTCAATGCATCGAAAAACCAAACTAGTTAAATTCCATCATCGCTGATCTGACCCTGAACTATCACCAATCACGATATATAGATGCTCTCTCGGGGAGGCCCCATGCCTTGGGCCTCAAACTTAACCCAAAACCCAAGTACCCGACTCCCTGTGATATCCTCTAGCTTTACAACACTGGAACAGCTTCTTCCCGCGTGCTACTGCCCTATGGAACCGACTCTCAAAGGATGCTTTCCCAATCACTAAAATCTGAACCTGTTCGAATCTAGGGTTAATCACATCTGCATAAACTGCATCTCTTGCTTTATAACCCCCTACCTCAAGTGTCTCCCAGGCCTTAAACCCAGTGAACTTCACTGTAAAAAGAAAAGATTCAACGATACACAAACCTCACCGTTACTACTCGTTTTAAGCAATGCAGCCAACCTTAGTGAATCGTCTGAGGATAGCTTCATCGCGTAAAATTAATTATACTGGGAGATTTGTGTCTCTCTTACTGTCGTTATGAATAAAAAAAAATCATCATTCTGCAGGAGACATGTCTTTTCAAATCCCAACAACCGTGTCAATGGCAGATTTGATGGTTTCTTCACAAATACGATCTTCATAAAAATAGAAACTGAGAAAATATAATGGGTTTGTTTAATCACTGATATTGCTCTATATACCTGGAATAGCACTAAAAAAAGGTGCGCACAGACAGGAATGCGATTATATTTACTAAGCTTTTCATTTGCCTGTTATACAGGTCTCAGTTTACTTATAGTACCTACTGTTTCTATGTGGTGAACTTTGAACAGGATCACTTCTGTTTAATCCCGGTATTATTTTGTTCACGATTTATCTGGCATTATTATCAATCGAGTCGCCTTTAACCTTTGAAGCATCATCATCATCAGTTAATTTAACCACAAACGGACTGAGAGTCGACTGATGACTCTCAAGAAGCGCAACTTCTGATTCAATTTTCAATAAATCATTTTTACTTTCTTAAGTCATCGCTAACATTCAATTTAGTTGAATGAAAATCGTCTTTCAATGGGAACAAAAGAATGACTTACTGCAAAAAGAATCAACTGCTACATGAAATTAACATGCAGTTGCTATAAGGACGGCATAATCTTTTGTTAGGCATCTACTATTTGCACGATGAAAAGAGACGAGAATTTTCGGTATAAGCTCGATAAACAATGAAAATTCTACCGATAGTAATTGGTAGACAGGGTACACACACAAACACACATACACACACACATACACACAAACACATACATACATACACAAACACAAACACACATACACACACAAACACACATTCACACATTCACACATACGCATATATATATATATATATTAATTATTATATTTATATATAATTAATATTTATATTTATACTAATAAAGCCTATATATTTTGTTTTTAGTATTTGCTACTGAAATGTGACGAAATCGGAAGTCCACTACTGACATTAGTGTAGCTTGAGCAATTAAAAAAAAGGAAATTATAAAGTTAAACAAAAGTTACGAAAGACATTATTTTTTACCGTATTTGATAATTCTACTAATTTGCTTACACTGAAATAACATTCTTTTCTGCTAATAGAACTAAAGCATAAAAAAATTAAGAAGCCATTTTAGCAACTTGAGTACTGAATCTTTCGCAAAAATTAAACACACCGTGTCCTGGTCAAAACATTAAAAATGCCATTCGTGAATAATTTTATTGATAAACCAAATAATTGATATAACAGAAAGTTTTTAAACTTGTAATTGTGATATTAGAGTGAACTAAGTGTATATTTCTAAATATGTGAATTTTTTACTACAATGAACCTCGATTGTGTTCTTATCTACTAAGATTATCTTAGTTTAATACAAGTCTGAATCACCCAGTAAAGCTCATACTCACTACGCTGCAGCAAGTCCAAGTAGACTACGTCGCTAAAAATTAGACATTTTTACATTAATATTGACATTTACATATATGCTAATATCGAACTCCAGAGTTTCCAGTTAGTATTGAATTAATGTTAAATCCCAACGCTCAGAAAAGGCTAGGATGTAAACAACAAATCTTGTCTGCCACATTGAAAACATCCACGTCTTAATAATCTTGTCTGCCACATTGAAAATATCCACATCTTAATAATGACGCTCGAAAGTACTTGAACCTTTGACAGTTTTGATCCTGATATACATCTTACTCAAAAAGTCGAGAAATAAAAAAAGTTCAACAGATGTAACATGTCGTTTGAATTTAACAAAACATATATATCTCTATACTTAGATATATTTTAATCATTTCACCTCGAGCAAGACAATAAAGCTACTAAGACGCAAGGATACTGAATGTGAAAGAATATGAGAAAAAGAAAATCATTATTAAAGAGAAAGAAGAATAAAAGAAGATAACAGGTATAATGGAAATTCAATGAATATCTCTAAATTCCAGGTGAAATAAATTAAAACTAGAATCAAAGATTTTTCGAGTTTTCTGAAAGTTTCCGCTGAGTAAGATGAAAGTTCATTATTGATTGATTTGTTTTGTTTTTTAAGGGTTATCAACCTGGTTATTTAAACCCTATTGTAATAGTATGCCCCCACACTCCCTATCGCCTATGTGGACTGATTATATCAGTATCTATATATAGTGAGAACAGGATACACCTGGGGACTTGATTCGGGAATTACTAGCCTGCCACCGGATTCCCTGTATTTCAGTAGTGTATTCTCTTTTAAAATAAACCTCTCTTTCTTTCATCTACGCACGTGTTGCTGTCCCTTCACTTGAGTACCACCTTTGTCTGTTTGTAACCTCTTTAAGGATACAACAAACCCAGAAATGTTTTTTTTTATTGTAAAAATATTTTTTAAAGATAATAAGTATTTACTGATACTAATTAATCCATAGCTAGAGGAGAAAAAGGTGGATACATACCTTTCGCCAAGAGTATTTGCGCGTAAGTGATTATAACGAACACTACTAGAATTGGAACTCGGCTTTCTGATTTCCAATTCCGAACCATTATCAATCTCCAAGCTTAGGATACCTGGAATTTCTAAGCGGCCACCCATTTAGGTCTTGACCAGCTTAACTTCAGTGATTGTTCGGGAACCGATGTTTCAAGGTGATATGGCCGTAAACCCAGATTATCATTAATTTAAGTTCAAATTTATTTCACTTGTATAATGTCACATAATAGGATCAGTCAATAATACCATGTCCTGCTATGTAGTTATTATCTTTATTTTGATGTGAAATTTTCACTGTATAATATTTGCTGTATAAGATTAATATTAACCATGAAATTAAGTGTATTGACAAAAGAAAATCATGTTGAAAAAGTAAATATGTGCTGCATGAAATAGTTTTTTAATCATTAGACCAGAAACTCATTGATTTATTTTTTTTAATACAAAATTTCACAAAGTTTTTTTGTGTTAATGTTTAACGTGATTCGATGTTTTATCTTATTGATTTTTAATGTTGAAGCAAGCAAAAAGAACTGATGTTTTCTATTGATGCGTAAGGATCGGAAACGCCAAAGACAATGCGAAATTTGAAGAAATAAATTCGAAATAAACAAATAACCTTATCAAACAGATAGAAATTAATAATTGTTTTTGAATTCTAATTCGTTATTGGCTCGTAAGTAAGTGAATATAACGAACCAGCCTGGAATCGAAACTCGGTTCCCGATTTTCAATTCCGAGCCATTATCCATTACACCAACTGCACATCGAAACTTACAGCAACTGTTATTCCCAAGCAATCACCCATGTAGGTACTGACCAGGCTCGAGATTGCTTAACTTCAATGGTCGTACGAGAAGCGGTGTTTTAACGTGATATCATTGTTAACCCCTCTCTACGGTTTAAAATTCAGCATTTTCATCATCTCAGATTGTTAACCAATATTACATTTCTATTTAAATCATATCTAGGAGAAAAAATATGGCTTAATGTAGGTGCCAAAAGTATTAATCCGAAACTGAATACAGCAACCTAGGCCAGCATTTGAACCCGCCTCTCCGATTCTTATTCCCGCATCCACATTCATAACACTGTCCACACACACATCCATTTTTGATATTGTTTCCAAATGTGTATATGTTAGAGAAAGCGAAACAGAATCGGTGAATCGTGTTTATATATTCCAGTTTAGGTTGTTCACGTTCACTTTGGAATCCATACCTTTTATCCTACGAACCTTCTAATTGTCACATGTATTGACAAATTAATATCTCGTTAACGGTATGTCACTATCTTTGATGGGTAAGAGAGAGGGTAATTCAGCACCTGTGCAGCGTATATAACTACATTAACTGTCCGGATAGTTATACTGGAGTTGGAGTTCGATTTGCTGTTATGTCGAAAGTCTGGAGATACTTTCCAGAATCTTTAACAAGGAACTTATCGGGAAACCTTGTAGCGCCAAAGTCGTACAAATGAATAAAAAGCACACAATTAAATCACTTATACGTAACAGATAGAAATTAATTATTTCAAATTCTTTCAAACCTTGCAATGAAGCTTTCGCATTATTATTATTATTATTATTGAGTGATAGATCAGCACACTATCAAAAGGACTCAAATATACAAAGTCCAATATACTGATAAAGCTATACCACGCACATTCATCACAGTCAAATGTGCGTGATACGCAGAGGGGTTTTGATATAAATGGTGCATATTCTCACAAATGGGACCCAGTTATATATGCCTTTAGATCGAATAGTAAACACCGCTCAGACTTTAATGAACGCGATATCTAATATAGCCCATCTAAATTCACCAGGACCAAATATGCACATGTAAACACCTCCAATCAGTAAAGATCGGTAGTCATGAGAGCAATACCTGGTGAAGCATCAGGGTATTTATTATTATTATTATTATTATTATTATTATTATTATTATTTCTTCTTCCTTTTGATCGTTGTATACACATTTCCTTCCGGCTCTCAACCACAGAACTATGGTCAAAAATGGCTTCATGACATTTTCCACTGATTAGTTTGGTAAAAAAATTAAGATCACTGGCATTTTACATCGATAAAGCGCTTCGTAATGTGTGAGATGTACTTGTGAGCATAATTTTTTGTATTTCTTTAAGGCATTTTCTAATCCGTTTCAATGTGTCTATCAGAGCGTTTGTCAATCAATCCAGGTGTTCCAACTACAACTGGAATTATTGATGTCCTCATGTGCTACATTATTATTATTATTATTATTATTATTATTATTATTATTAACGTTTAACTTAGTCTTTTATGTTATACTGCTTCCCCCCTACAGAGATCACATGATTTCTGTGTTTATTTCTGTTAAGTAATCAACATAAACCAGAAATAAAATACAGACCCGAAATAAACAACGACTGAAGCGTTGTGATTAAAAATAACAACTAAAATAAGATGTAAAAAAATCATCTAAAATTAATAATGATGACAAGGCTTCATCTAAGGTTTCGTAGACTATTGCATGTAATATTTCTAGTATTAGACAAACAAAATAAGCTGTATGAAAGATCAGTAAGAATTAATAATAAATGTAATTTACCAAAAGGAAAAGCTAGAAATCAGTTCAGACAAGTGTCCAAAACTTATTGGAATGGAATTAAAAATCCCGAGCAGAACGGAAATATATTATAAAAGGCCCTATTTTCATATTCAGTATAGTCAGCAAAAAACACTTACTGCAGATAATCAAAATCGAAGGTCGGACAAAAAATCTTTTAAAGTGAATGACAAAAAACAGCATTCATAAAAATCAGAACTGTGAAATAGGCTGAATATTTTATTTGTTCTTATCCACGGGAATATTACAAAGTTCTGAAGATATGCTTTTCATTTATACGCATATAAAATAATGCACAGAGATCTGGGCGACTCGAATCGACAACATGAATGTAGAGGCTGATTTTTATATTCAATATTAAATTCCGCAGTGTTTCACATTACCCAGCAACCATGCAAACGTTTTTCCATTCTTTTACTGTCATAATCTGTTTTGCTTTTTTTTTTTGGTGGGGGGGAATACTTTTGTGTAATTTGTATTGTGATAAATATTTTTTGTCACTAGTTGTTACTAGTTAAGAATGTTTTTAAATGACATGCCATTCATATCTAGTGAACGTTTATGATCTTCTTTTATGTGTCATGTCCATTCAGGAAGTAGGCGATCATGGCTCTCCATTTCCCACTATCCTTTGCAGTTCTCAATATGTTTTGTTCTATTGCTACTTCTCCCAGACCCTGTTCTGCCATCCACTTGCTTAAGCCCATTACGTATGTCACGCGCGGCTTTGCCTTGTCCCTCTTTCCCTTTATCCGCCCTGTGAGTATCAGATTCTCCAAGCCCTTCTTTCTCATTACCTGTCCCTGAAATTTCAGCTGCATCTTTCTGATGTTAAGTATAAGTTTCCACCTTGTTTGCATCCTGTCCAAAACCTCATCGTTGCTGACATGTTCGGTCCCTGATATCCTTAGCATCCTTCTGTAGAACCATAACACCGTTGCCTCGGACCTCTTCTTCATCTTTGAGGAGACAGGCCCACAGTCGGTGCCGTAAAGGACAGATATCAGTTCAGTACTCTTTGTTACCAAAGAAATCCTCCTGTCTCGTAATACTCTGCCTAGCTTTTGAAATGTGTCTTTGGCCATCCCAATACGTCTTCGGATCTCAGCGTCGCACTTAAGAAAAAAGGCTGCCATAGGATTGTACTGCATTAATTTACCAAATAGAAAGGATCTTGCGATGAATAATTCTGTTTTTGCCAATAATTGTTACTTGTTAATAAATTTAAATGATACAGTATTGATATTTACAGAGCTCTAAATTAGTACGAGGCAAGATCCGATTAAGCAATGGAAGGAAGAAGATTGCATTGTGGCGACTTCCCAAATGGTTAGAGCCATGAAAATCAGCTTTCAAATCGTTGGCGTTCATCTCAGATTAAAATACGTAACTATTTTCCTTATAAGGTCAAAAGGCAAAGTGGGAGATTTAAAAGGAGGAAAACTGGATTAGAACACATTTAGATTATACCTATGAAAGAAAGGATCACGTAAAATATCATAAAATATAGCCGTGTGTACGTGTGTGTGTGTGTGTGTGAATCACTACCAATGAAACCGACCTCTTTAATCCGGCCACCTTGGGAGCAGGTCAGTGCCGGACCACAGAAATACCGGCTGACAGAACTCGCTCTTAAAACAACGATATGAACACCGGCATTCTAACTCATTTCTACATATATTACGGTGTTATCAAATTTAGCACAAAGTTTAAAACAGGAAATAAAACAATCACTAATGCTTCCAAACAAGGTTCTTATTGTTTCATAAAGGAAAATAAAACTAAAACTAATATATACATAGTAAATAATAGTAGGTCTATGTGAAGCCTGGAGCACAAGCTGCAAATAATAGTGTATGACTTTACAATAATCTTTTGTTATATTATTATTTAAGAAGATTTTTTATTGTTTCAGGCAATATAAAACCGCAAACCTAAAATATGAAACAGTAACGAACTTCATGAAGTTCATTCAAATAGTACCGGATCATGAGAGTTACCGGGTTAAAGAGGTCAGACTATCATTTGTTTCATAGGCTTGCTTTAATTTTAATTTTATGAAAAAAAAAAAGTATAAATTAAAGAATATTTATGTTATTAAGCATATATATATATATATATATATATATATATATATATATATATATAAATCAGAAGATCAGTTGAATCCTCTACCTTGGTTTCAACCATACGATATCCTCAGGGGATTTTTATCAAATGAACTCTTTTTTTTTTTTAAATTAATGAACATTATATAATTTTTAATAAATAAATAAACGCACGATGTTGGCCGTAATAGAAAGGGGAAGAAGGTTGTTGAGAAGGAAGGAGAAAAAGAAGAAATGCAAGGGTATTATAGTGATTTTCCAAGAGTAGCGTGGATGTGGCACAAGGCCGAAAATAAGGGGCACTCAGTGAGGATTGAACTCACTACTCAGCCATAATTGTTCTAGCGAAACAAACTTGCTAACCATTACACCACCTCGAGATGCCCAAGAAAGAGAATTATAAATGTATCGGTAGGGCTTGCAATTGACATGTATATTTTTTTATCTAGCTTCATATGTGCTTAATATGTATGCAAGGACTCAAGACTTCGGATTTCAGGTTCAAAAGGTTCTTTGGATCAGAAATGTTATTATTGCTAATTTTTCCTGTTGGTAGAGTCTGCAAATATTGTTCTGGTTGTTATAAGGCTTCTTCTTTTTTTTTAATTTTCCAGCTTAAAATCGGATCCCTTTCTTTTAAATTCCGCATATGGTCAGCAAGTTTGGTAGAGCAGCTAAGATTTACTAGATTGAATGACGACCTATGATTGTACCATCTACGTTTGAAAGTATCTTCCGTACATCATAGGTACGTTTTATTTTGGCCATTAATATCTGTTACTGCTGCTTTATAGTTTACTAGCAGGCAGATCTATTTTCTACTTTAATTCTTTGAAACAAAAATTTTATATGAATATTTCTTTCATAAGTTAGCTTGTTATAATTAAGGAAAGTTTTACAAATAGATGACAATTTGTTGAAGGCCAAGTAAAATGCAAATTTCAAACACTTCTCTGCACTGTATAAGACGATATTCTTAAACAGGACTATTTTGGATATGAAAATCAAAACAATCCTTCAATAACAGAACACTGATGAAAGAGAGTTAATTAATTAAATATACTTTTTTTAAAATCAATATGCAAATTAGTTAAACCTAAAGAATGATACCACCTAGAAGTAGATAATATATAAAACAGATATTGAGCTTTTGTACAATATTAGATTCGACTGGAATACGAAATTTTTCATTTGAGACTAATCTTCGAGTGGATATATGTTAAAACACACACACACATATATATATATATGTAATAATTTTACCTCAAACAAGATGTTAATGCTACTACGACGCTGGGTGTTACTGAAATCACTTTAGTAATGTCTTGTGTCATAATGACATTATCATTATAGAAAATGAGAAGACTTTAGTGAGGACAATAAAAGAACAGATTTAACTAAGAGCCGCGATGGCGAGTGATGTTGCATTTACATTTTTAAGAGTCGCAAGGAATCAAGAAACCGGAAGAGTGTTCTAGAAGCGAGAAGTGCAAAAAAAAAAAAAAGAAACTCTCTGAATAGAACTTACGGTTAGATCTATCTATTTCAACATTAAAACAATACAACCTAGTTGCTAATCTACTCAGTCAGTTATGTGCTATGCGTGATACACGCTTAGGCGATCATGTATCTTTCGATACATGGCTGATTTTTTCCCCGCAGTAGGCTATCATTTCTTTCTACGGTAGACTAGTTGCCATCCAAGGCTATAGAACCCACCCTGTCCTGCTATTTTAGCCTTAGCTGAGGGGAGAAGAGGAGGATTCATACCTTTCCCAAGGGTATTTGCACTTAAGTAAATGTAATAGATTCGACTGGAATTCGAACTCGGCTCTCCGATTCCTCAATCCGAGCCGCTATCCATTACTCTAATCTACTAGTAAACTGAAATTCGTGCGGTCGAATTACCATTGAGGAGGTCTCATTAGAACAATTGCCATGAAAATGTCTATAAAAAGAAACAAGGAAGACACGTCACGGTGGTTCCAAAATGGCTGAAGTCGCTATGCCAGATCAGGATCGATAACAAATCGATCGATACAAATATTTCTTAGGATTTGTCATGAATCTCGAGTCATATAGCTGGAATATCAAACCAAATATGGTAGCAATATTCACTGCATGAACGAATGGTCGATTTATGAATGGGCAAGAGGGATTCTAATGAGAATAATTGTCTGGTCCGACACAGTGCACAAACCTTATTAGCAGCAGACCTCACAAATGATTCAATAGAATTACTCCACTTTATGTCAGTCAAAAATGTGGAATTTGCCTGGAACGGCACCATCGACCAGCTTATCTAGCAATTGATCCAATATATTCATTTCACTTCACGTCAGTGGAAAACTTTAAAGGAAGATGACACAACGGGTTTCTCTGATGGAAGGCGAAAATAATTATCTAAAATGACTAAAAGATAGCTGTTTCATCTTCGAGGCGTTATAGTTTACAAGCTATTTCTTGCCCCAGTTAACAATTGACTGGAGGTCATTTTCGAAAGCTGCCAGTTTTACTTTATCGGAGATGTCGGATTTATTATTAAGACAGGAGTAAGTAGTCGTGTCCTCAGCATACATAGCAAGTTAAGAAATAACTTCGGGGAGGTTGTTAATGAAGATAAAAAATATCAAAGATAGAGCCCTGGGAGACATACCATTAATGTGAAACGGTCAAGAAGTACAATTTTCATTACACGATTTCTTAAGAAAGGTTAGACCAAATCAAAAATTCAGCTGGTGACACCATAGTCCTTGGACTTGTGAGGAAGGCTAGCATGCTAAACCATATCAAACGCTTCAAGATATCTAAAGCAACACCATTCTTATCTTAAGCCTCGTCGTTCATATCTAAAGCTTAATAGACTTTACGTAATAACCGCTAATGTGTTGACGGTTATTACGAGTTTTAAGAAAGCCATATTATTAATCTGAAAAAAGGATGTGCGAAGTTAGATGCTTACCCAATTCAGTGTTGATTAGAGCGTTGTGTTGATTTGTCAAAAGAGACAAAAGTCTAATATGACGAGAAAATAAAGGAGTGGGTATGTTCCACGGGGTTCTTAAAGACAGGAACGACAGAGAAGGATTTCCAACAAGCTGGAAACCAAGAAGCAAAGCATTATTTCTAGAGTTTAGAAAGAACGGTAGCCAGTTCAGGAGCACATTTCCTTTGATAACTCCGGGGATACCGTCAAGCCCGCATGCCTTCTGGGAATAATTTTTAAATATCAACATAAAAAAAAATGTTTTCCCCTAGACGCAAAACATGTCAAAAATATGAAAAAAAATAAAAGACAGTGTTCAATGATTTAAAGAAAACAGAGTATTTTGATATCGAAATTAATTCTAGCAATTTATTGACTATTTCATTACAATAATCAGGGCACTGAAAAGCCTAAAAGCGAAAGTGAACTAACAACGGGCTGCTGCAATTAATCCTAACTCGATCTCCCTGTTAAACACAATGCCGCAACACACAGCAGGTTTCAATAGCAAATACGTTATACAAGATGGAATGGCTAGCCTCACGTCCAACAGGTTTGAAGTCATAGTTGTCTTTCTCCTAGACTGGTGTGCAACCAGGGATAGAATTCTAGGCCTGTTATTTTATACATAATTAGGAGGGAAATATACAGACATAAAGTGAATAACATAGAATCAGTCAAAAATTAATTTTGATTTATTTTTCTGCATAACAATTACAGAACTCGCCTTATATTATTTATTTATATGAACATGTATGCGCGCCTGTGCCTAGGCTTCAATTCTGAAAATATATATTTCCAAAAACATTGTCAATACACTTATTTAGAGATAATTTTGAACTTCTCATGAAAAATAAAAATTTAACGTGCTTCTACCGTATTTATAGAATACATGAAAATATACTTAAGGTGTTGGTATGTAAAATTAAATTTTCAAATCCGTATAAAAAAATACAAAAATATTTCAATTTATAATCGGTAAAAATAAATGTTTTGACTGGATATTATTATATAGCAAAAAATAAGGAATTAGTCGAGAAATAGAAATTATAATGTCCCCATCGCGAGTAGGGTGACATTGGTACAATCATAATCTATAGGACATCCCGAAAAGATAACATTCTTATAAATAGTGTTAACTTCAATTTGCATTTCTCGATCTGTTTAACCAACAGAGTTCCTGATTTATCTCATATCCATTATATTTGGGGTAAATTCAAATAAACTTTCTCAAAGAAAATTATCGATAGATATGAATATGTGCAAATATAGAGGACCGGATTATGAAATTTTTGGGACCCTAGGTTAATGAAATTTTGCACCCAGAAACACAGACGGACACACACGCCTTGAATATTTTTTTTTATTTATGATATATTTTAGCGCCAATTACATAGCTTGAAGTAAACTGATTTCAAATATTTTATATAAACTAGAATAGTTTTGTTAGTCAATAAAAAATATTCTACAAAAAATACCATTATTTTACTATTTATTGCAAACAAAATTAGCACATAGTTCAACACAACCGCAGTTTAAAAAATCAGTTTTTTTTATAACCAGCATTATAACAATAAAACAATCAAAATAAATAAGAGTTAGTCATATTGATATCATTTCAGTTTATAAAAATTAAAATCATTGGTTTATATAAGCTTGAGGGCTCTAAGCTGCAGCAGGCTATACTAGCATAAACGATAATCCGCCCTGAATACACACACACAGAGGCCGGTATCTTTATATATATATATATATATATATATATATATATATATATATATATATATATATATATATATATATGTATGTGTGTGTGTGTGTGTATCAACATCCCTGAATATCTACATATTCAAAAATAGATAGATAGATAGATAGATAGATAGATAGATAGATAGATAGATAGATAGATAGATAGCGGTAACATTTAATATTCGCGTATATATTTGCATTAGTTTATATATATTCCTACAAGTGAAGATGGATATATGCGTACAAACTCGCACACACAGTGAAGCAGGGTTAAACAATCATCGCCGGAGTCACTATCTTCATATTGCTTTGAATTGTGCCATCTGGAAAACTACGTCGTTAAGGCGACAAAGTGCGTAAAAGTGTTAGTGTGTAATACTATCAGGAATACATGGTGATGTTGTACCTGTTGTCGAAGGTAATTGTGTTTGCATTGTTTGTAGTAGAGAGTGTAAGTCACCGGCTGGGTTCATAAGACACGTGAAAATTGGAATGATATGTTAAGTGATGTTTGTGCTCAGAAACGAGAAAATAGTCATTATATATCGATAGATGTTTTCATATATTCCTTTAATGTCATACGTACAGAAGTAAACAAAGCCACAAAGACTGACACACAGGCATGCCCCACTTTCCTATATACCTTTATGAAAATTGGATCGGCACGTATAATAATAATTTAATAGTGTCCAAAAGATAAGAAAAGTACTGAGCTACAGGAAAATTATATTATAAAAAAAGAACAGTGCCAAACTCTTATGTAATATCAATCCACTTGTATTACAGGTTAAAAGAAAATTGGAGACAACAGAAAGGTGGTTCTACAGAAGGATACTGAGAATACCATGGACGGAGCGCGTAAGCAACGAAGATATCTTAAGGAAAATGGAAATAAACAAGATACTTATACTCAGAAACAGAAACTGACAGATGAAATTTATTGGACACATAACGAGGAATTCGAAAATTTGTCCCTCACAGGATACATCAAATGGACAGGGCATATACAGTATCATACATGAATACTAAACGTAACTGAAAAGTAAGTTTTATCATTTTTATGATAAACAAGAACGCTATAACAATGCATATGACTATTTACTGATCTTTGTCTTGATAAAAGGCTATATTAATGGAGCGCCAACAGTGGGAATCAAATTAAAAAAAAATGTAAATTCTTATACGGGATAGACTTGTTGGTCATCACACCGGGATAAGCACCTTGAAAATGTTCAGGAAAGATTAAGGCGCGAAATGGTATCTACAAGGAAAGAAAATTCAATTTACAAAAAAAATACTTTAATCCCAGTCGAAGTCATTTCAGAAGAAGTGTTCAGATCGGGGAGACATGGTGAACGTTGGACATCTTAAATAAATAATATGTTAGATTCTCAGAATTTTGGAGAACACATTTGTGTACAAACACAGACGTATATAGATAGATAGATAGATAGATAGATAGATAGATAGATAGATAGATAGATAGATAGATAGATGGCGGACATAAAATAACAGCATCGCATGAGGACTGCTTATATTTACAAATGTTACCCACCACACACAAAAAAAAAATTCGGGCTCTTTCCTCAAAAATATAGCAGCATTTAAACTAAATCCATCTATCCATACATACATACATACATACATACATACATACATACATACATATATATGTGTGTGTGTGTGTGTGTAAGTGGTATTTGTATGTGTGTGGATACATATATATATATATATATATATATATATATATATATATATATATATATAATGGTCTGACGATTGCGTTTAAGAATGAAACAGACTGTCACCACTGGGTGTTAATCTCAATCGCCACTTTTATATATACATATGTTCTATCCCTGATATTCCCTTTACCCCATAAATATAACATACCATAAAACTATTAAAACTATATTATTATCATATATACATACATATATATATATATATATATATATATATATATATATTATTAAAACTTTATTATTATAATATATATATTATTATCATATATATATTAAAACTATATTATTATCATATATATATATATATATATATATATATAGATATAGATATATATATATAGATAGATAGATAGATAGATAGATAGATAGATAGATAGATATAGAGAGAGTAAGAATAAAAGCTAAAGCTTAAAATGAACTAAAAACTAAAATATTAGTCGACAAAGCCTAAATATAATAATCATGTAATAACAATTAAAAGGCGAAATTCATTTACGCTTCATGATTTTACTTTCATGAAACTTTAGCTTGCTGATTTTGGTGTTATTGAATTCTAATATTATATTATATTATGTTATGTTATATTATATTATATACATCTAATATTGTTTAGTTTATTTAAAAGACTAGGTAAAGTTTTTCTACGGGACTATATTTATAAAGCATCATTGATATATCGGAAATATGTAGATTATTTAGGTGATATATTTCGTAAATGACATGTAAGTAAAAGAAAATAAAGACAAATTTAAAACATCGATAAATAGCGATCTCCTTGATAATCGAAATGTCTATGTGTCAAAATTATAATACAGAATTATATAAGTTTTTAATACGTTGACAAATCATTATAATTTTCTCTATAGGTGGGAAAAAGTTAGTTTTCGATTGTACAAGATGTTTCCTTAGGAGAATTAGACATTGGTGAAAAAATACGTTAGTGTACAGGGACTTAATATTTTAACTAGCCAAGAGTTTATCTTTCAAATTTACGTCTTTTAGTTTTTCAACAATGTTGCTGAAATTTTGAATGTGTAGGGTTAATTATTCCAAAAACTGGGGTTAACATTTTTTTTCTATAGTTTTTGCTACTCTATGGGGAATACTTCAAATCCCAGATATGATAGGTTGTATAGGAATGCCTGAATTCTACCTTTTGATAGACCATAATATTTGAGTATTTTAGGGAGACATTCGTTCAATACTAATGTCAAATTTAGATTACCGAAGGGGTCAGCTCTTGACTGTGTTTTACTTTTAACAGGTGGAGGGTATAAAAAAATAATCCTTTGTCATATATTTAAACTAAATAATCAACATGTTTACGATATATCGATGATGCTTGACATATATATATGTATACATATATATATATATATATATATATATATATATATATATATATATATATATATATATATATATATATAAAAAAGCTTAAACACTAATATTCCATGGTCATAATTTATTCCATTGGAATCGTAAATACGATCAAATCATCAGACCTACTAATTCAAAATTTTGAATTTGTAGGTCTGATGATTGAACTGTATTTATTGATTCCAATGGAATAAATTATGACCATGGAATATTAGTGTTTGCCTTTTATTATATCCTTACTCTGTCCTAGACATTGAGTTCTACCTGGATCCTTCCTCTTGGAAAATTTTTTCTGAAAATATACATGTATGGAATTTTTTAGATATATTTTTCATATGTATGTATATTTTCCACTAATATTATCTATATATATATATATATATATATATATATATATATATATATATATATATATATATATATATATATATATATAAGAAAGACAAGAGGAAAAACTATTATTAGCAGAAGCGTTTCGTCCTCTGAGAGACTTTATCAAGGTAATGAACAACTGACTTGATAATGTTCGTCAGAGTACGAAACGCGTCGGTTAAGAATAGTTTTTCATCTTGACTCTTTTCATTTTGTTCCTTTACAAATAAACTCTCTCTGAAAATAATGTACATATACAAACATATATTATATATATATGTGTGTGTGTGTATTTGTGTGTGTGTGTGTTTGTGTGTGTGTGTGT